TGGCATCAGCCTAGCTCACAGCAACCTCAAACTCCTGGGCTCAAGCAATCCTGCTGTCTCAGCCTCCCGAGTAGCTGGGACTACAGGCATGCGCCACTATGCCCGGCTAATTTTTTATATATATATATCAGTTGGCCAATTAATTTCTTTCTGTTTATAGTAGAGACGGGGTCTCGCTCTTGCTCAGGCTGGTGAACTCCTGACCTTGAGCAATCCGCCCGCCTCGGCCTCCCAAGAGCTAGGATTACAGGCGTGAGCCACAGCGCCCGGCCTTGAGATTCATTTTTATGTATGGTGTGAGATAATGGTTAGAGTTCATCCTCCTTCCCCCTCCAATGTATAACTGTTGACTGCATCATTTTATTTATTTATTTTTTTTTTTTGTTTTATGAGACAAAGTTTCGCTTTGTTGCCCAGGCTAGAGTGAGTGCCATGGCGTCAGCCTAGCTCACAGCAACCTCAAATTCCTGGGCTCAAGTGATCCTACTGCCTCAGCCTCCCGAGTAGCTGGGACTACAGGCATGCGCCACCATGCCTGGCTAATTTTTCTATGTATTTTTAGTTGTCCAGCTAATTTCTTTCTATTTTTAGTAGAGACGAGGTCTTGCTCTTGCTCAGGCTGGTCTCGAACTCCTGAGCTCAAACGATCCGCCCGCCTCAGCCTCCCAGAGTGTTAGGATTACAGGCGTGAGCCACCGCGCCCGGCCTGACTGCATCATTTATTGACAAGTCTTTTCTTTCACCACTGATAGACAATGCCAGCTATGTTATAAAATCACATTTTCAGGTATGTGTTGATCTGTTTTGGCCTTTCTGTTTTTTATTGGTTGGCTTGTCTATCCATTTACCAGTATCACACTGTCTTAAATTTTATTTGTTATTTTTATAATTAAATGTATCAGTTGTAAAAATGCAATTAAGAAGTAAGGAAGGCTAAAGTCTATTCACCACTAATCCTCTTATCTGTAGTTTCTGAAAAGGCATATGTACTATTATATTTCCTTTATTTAGTTAGAAATGCTGAAAAGTTTTTCCCATTTATTACCAGATATACCAATAACCTTGCTGTCTTCAAATTATTTGTTTTTTCCATCTTGTTTATGTCTATTGTGCTTATTTTTATTCTATTTTTGTTAGTAATTCTGTCCTTATTTCATTACCATTATGTCTGATGCCTCCCTCACCCTTGAGTCAGTGGTGGTTATATCTGATCTTTTCCCTTCTTATGATTCTTGCTTGCCACTGCCTTAACTGAAGTTCTTGTTACTAAACTTTTGGCTTGGTCTTCTGGTATTGAAAATTTTTCATGCCTTTACCTCATCCTGGGTATTTGTGCTGTTAGTCTTCACAAAGTTCAGTTCATTACATTGGTTCTATCTACTTTGTTTGATGTCCCTTTAGTCATAAGTTGTATCTATCTATCTATTTTGAGAAAGGCTCTGGCTTTGTCACCCAGGCTGGAGTATTGTGGCCTGATCACAACACACTGCAACCTTGAACTTCTGGCCTCAAGCAATCTTCCCTTCTCAGCCTCTGGAGTAGCTAGGACTACAGGTGCAGACCACCATGCCTGGCTCATTTAAAGCCCTCTTATCAAAATTAAAGTCCTCTTATCAAAAGGGGAAAATAGGCCAAAAATAATGTTGAGTCAAAATACCTCATAGAACAGGTTAATTGCAAAATAGTATAATAAACTGTTAATGATGGTACTAAGCTAATAATAACTTATAAGTAAAGAAGAAGGAAGCGGTAACTGGAAATCTTGTCTAACATAGGTCATCTCTGTTCACGTATTAATAACAAAACATGGTTCTGAAAAGTTGCAAATTCTCCACATATCTTCATGCATGCTTAGTAAGAACTTTACACTATTGCAAATCTATATTTAATATATTTAATTTTTAAAATTTTTTTATTTCAGCATATTGTGGTGGTACAAATGTTAAGCTTACGTATATTGCCCATGCCCCCTCCCCCCTCGAGTCAGAGCTTCAAGTGTGACCATCCCCCAGACATTGCATATCTCACTCATTGTGTCTGTATATACCCATCCTTTCCTGCCCCCTCCCACTCACCCGACACTACTTTTGTTTTTTATTTTATTTTATTTATTTATTTATTTATTTATTTATTTATTTATTTATTTATTTATTTATTTATTTATTTATTTATTTTGAGACAGAGTCTTGCTTTGTTGTCCAGGCTAGAGTGAGTGCCGTGGCGTCAGTCTAGCTCACAGCAACCTCAAACTCCTGGGCTCGAAGCTGCATCCTCTTGCCCTCAGCCTGCCCGAGTAAGCTGCGGACTACAGGCATGTGCCACTATGCCCGGCTAAGTTTTATATATATATATCAGTTGGCCATAATTTCTTTCTTTTCTTTATAGTAGAGAACGGGGTGTCGCTCTTGCCTCAGGCTGTTTTGAACTCCTGACTTGAGCAATCGCCCACTCGGCCTCCCAGAGAGCTAGGATTACAGGCGTGAGCCACGC